TCATGTTAGTTCCCTTCAGGGATATGAATGGAAAAAGCAGGGGAGAAAGAACTCCTTGTTCTCCTTCTTCTGTCTGGGTTCTTCCAAAAGCAGCTCTTTTCAGCTTTTATCTGTGCGCCAACTGGGCGTGTCCCTCAGGGGTCTGAGTGAGGTATCCACCAGCAGCAAGGCCCCCTCAGAGGTCTGAGTACCAAGTGTGAGATGCATTCCACTCCCAGAAATGTGAAGAGGCCCTCTTGGAGGTCCTGGCCCCAGACATGCAGTGGCCCTCATCAAAGGACCTAACCTGCCTCGGCCTTTCTGAGCTCCTGGGCTCTGGGTACATCACCTCTCCCTCGCTGCTCCTAGGGTTGGCAGCTGTTCTGGTAGCTGGGGGCTCTGCAGTGGCCACTCTACTCTTTTAGCCTTTCAACATATGTGCAACTATTTCCCTGCATCAAATCTCCAATATTTGAAATACCTAGTATGGTGCTCCCCTAGTGGCACAAAGGTTAAACACTTGGTTGCTACGCAAAAGGTTGGTGGTTCAAACCCACCCGTAGATCTGTGGGAGAAAGAAAGACCTGGGGATCTGCTCCCATAAAGATTTATCGTCTAGAAAACTTTGTGGGGTAGTTCTACTCTGTCACATGGGGTCGATATGAGTCCGAGTAGATTCAACGGCCCCCTACAACAATAACAATATGGTTTCAATTTCCTGACTGGATTTTGGCTGACAGAGGAGAGACTGATCTTCTGGGGCCTCACTTCAACCAGCTCTATAGGACTGTGTCTCTCAGGTAACTGGAAAGGTGGCTCTGTGTTCCTCATCTCATAGGGATGATCTCTTGTTCAATGTTGCCAGAGTTGAGGGGTCCGGCTTTACATCCTTCTAGAAGGCAGAATGCCTAGAACCTTTAAAAACCAGAAAAACTGCAAAGAAGAGGTAAAAAGTCATTACATTTTTTACTTCTGACAAAGCCACCCAGATTTACAGAATCCCAAACGGGATGATTGAGTTGAACCTCTTTCCAAAGTCTTGTAATGTCTATTTTGTCCCATAAAAGAATTTCACTAGTGTCTGTAGGTTTTATTTCCCTCCGCTTTCCACTGCCTGGACAGCTACAGGAAATAAGTGACTAAATCTTTTCTCTGTGGATGTAGTCACATCCCACCTGTGCACAACGGAGCTAAGGCCACAGGCTGGCTAGACAACCGCACATCCGGATCAGCTATGACTGCAACCCAGAAAACAGCAACTGGAGTTTCCCGACACTGCCGGCGCTGCAATGTCCAACAGACCACGTCCCAGGCAGGTCCATGCTCTTGATCAGAGCTCCCTGCGGGGCAGCCCACCACAGCACCAGCGGTAGGTGGGTGGCCATCTAGGTGCATGGGCTAAGACTATGATCTGAGGTAAAGGATTCAGTGCGCTCACACAAAGGGTGAATGTGTTTAGATGGCTTAAAATATGAATGCTCTAAGCAGATGGCCTAGGTGGGGCTTTGAATAGCTGAAAGAAGCTGGTCCTTTAAGGAGTAAAATGAACAGAGCTGAGGAATCCTTTCTGGGCCCTGCAGGCTCAGGGGTGTTTACAGCCGAGGGCGGCTGAGTTGCTGACGGCACCAGTTTAGTGAGTCTGAAAGCTCTAGCGGGCTCTGGAGCTTGGGTTTACAGGAGGGGAAACTTGGGGTTAGAACTCAGCATTAACTGTTTTGCTGACCTTCGCTTCCAATGAAACAAAATCATCCTTTCTTTAATACATAAATCACCACTCTTTCAGCAACTGCTCGTAAGGTCCCAGGGCAAACACATGGCTCTTCTTACACAGGGAGTAATGGTCTTCCTAAACACCAAAGTTCTTTTGTTTTTTTTTAAATGGGTACCAAGGGCAGGCCAGACGAAAACTACCGAGATAATGGGCAAGGAGAGGTGAGGGCAGAAGGAAAACGAGCCTGGGGGTGCATATATCTGGGAGAAAACATTAAAAAACTCTTACAGTCTAGGAAAACATCATAAAAAACAAAAGGCGCTATAATGTAAAAAGTCAGATCAAGATGAGGCATTTAACTGGTTTCAATTCTCTCTTAATGGATCATTCTGGATGAAGACAATAAATGCAAAATAAAACTTTAATAGCTTTCTTTCCAGTCTGCTGAAAGTGTACTTTAAGCAGAGGATATATCATCTTTTTCTTGTCTATATTCATTTTGTAAATTTTTACATTTTCACAAGTTTTAGCAAATTCCCGTCTGTCTGGGACATTATTCGTATAGACCTGTCCTACTTCTTTTGTCTTATGTGCCCGTCCTTCCTCTTGTTATGCATGTCCTTTCAAACCATGAGCTCAAAATAAAGCTCTGGATATACCAACACCAGTTTTTTCAGACACTTCTTCTCTTTCCTTAATTGGAACAATATCTAGTTGGATATCAGAATTTTATTTTTAAAAGAACTTCATCCTAAGCCACATTTCCTTTTCAAGTCTAAGGGATGAGGGTAGAAGCTACCAAAACTTTAAAAACCACTCAGTATTTTTTATTTTTCAATTTTTAGAATATGTGGCGATTCTTATAACTAAACCTAATTGTATCTACTCTAAGTATGTAACTAATAAAACACTCACTGACCTTATGCACACAGTCTAATGCAGTGAACTCCTTCAGGATGTACCTGGTGAGGATGCACACAGATCTTCTCTACCCCTAACCCGGGTTTTCTCAACTGTGGCATGACATTTTGGGCTGAATAAATCTGTTGTGGGGCTGTCCTGTGCATTGTAGGATGCTTCTACCACTATATGCCAGTAGCATCCCCCCTCCAAGTTGTGACAACCAAAAATGTCTCCAGACATTCCAAATATTCCCTGGGGAGCAAAATCTCTCCGATGGGAATCACTGTCCTAAACTCTTTTAGAAGCAAACTCTTCAAACCAGCTTTGTCTAAGCTTTCTGTGATGAAAATGTTCTGTAACTGTCCAAGATGGTAGATAGAGCTATACAAAGCTATACGGCACTGAAAATGCGGCTGATACAACTGAAGAACAGACTTTTTTCATTTTATTTTCTCACTCCTTGCCAAATTTTTATTTTAAAAAATTTCAAAGCTATAGATTTGTAAAAATAGTATAGTACACACCCATATACCCTTCACCTGGATTTACCAATTGCTAGTATTTTGTCACATCTCCTTTCTCTCTCTATAAACGCAGATTTTCTGAACCATTTGAGAGAAACTCGCAGACCTAAATACTTACTCTTACATAACCATGGTACAATGATTACATTTAGGAAACTCAACAATGATACAGTACTATTATCTAATATATAGTTCACATTCAAATTTCCTCAGTTGTCCCCATAAAGTCCTTCATAGGACTTTATCAACAATAATCCAGGCTGTTGCATTGCATTTAATCATATCTCCTTGATCTCTCTCTTTTTTTATTGTGGTAAATATATATACAACAAAACATCTGCCATTTCAACTTTTCACATGGACAGTTCAGTGACATTGTGTTCATCTATCACCCTTATCCGTTGTTTCATTTTAATTAATTTAAATTCTGCATATACTACTGTGAGGACAAGAAGCTTCAGCACTGAAATTGAGTAGGTAATTTGATTCCTTTATTAAAAATCAGTTATCATTTGCAATGCTGACATGCAGCAAAATCTTGGAGGAACAAGATACTAATAAATTAAAAAAAAAAAAAAAAAAAAGGAACTCTATAAAAAAAAAAAAAAAAAAAAAAACCAAAAAAAATAAAAAAAAAAAAAAAAAAACTCCTCACCTCATTTCCACTTTTTATCTACCTTTCCTGAATAACTTTCACCTCACCATATATATTTTTCTTATAAAAAGTCTTATTTTCAACCATTTAAAGTCCATTCTGAGTAGGCACTTGTAAAATTATAAGTATACTGTAAAGTTAAAGATTGCAATTCTAGAAGTTTAAATCCCCCTGTAAAGAGAAAAGTGATAAATTAATTTTGCATGACAGAAGCTATAACTGAAAATACCAGAATGCTAAAAAAGTGCTCTAGATAAACTCTGGTAAGTAATTCCTTGAAAGAAAAGAAAAACCAAGCGGATCAAAAGAAAGGAAAAACCAAACCAGGATTGAAAGAAAACATTTATTGAATCAAAATCAATACTTTCTTTTTAATATCTACAAGCCAACACTGACCTCACTTTATTCAAGAATGAACACAATGTACAAAAAAAGTATGCTTATATTATAAAAATATGTCAATTTTATCTTCTGGGAGTGAGCAGACCTCATTTTAAACAAAATCAAGGCAAACTTGCTCTCTATAATGAAACTGCTATAATTTAATAACAAATGTGAAAGCTAATGTACTCACAAGGTATTTTTAAAGGCTCACTGATAACGCTGCCTTGGAAATGCTGAACCCAAATCACTACAGTTTTAACGTTTCCATTTTATGCTTATTGGCACCACTTTGTGCCTGCATCTTGGAAAAGTACCTCTTTTATAGAACGCAGATCACTGTTAACAGAATCCATCTGATTAGTTAAAAATCCTCATTTGGTTTCCCTTGCTTAACAGTTGTTAACATGTATTTTGGCAAAATATTAACAGCCTAATGAATTCTGAGTTGAAAATAGTATTTATTTAATTAGCTTCCATTTAAAAATGAGATTCATTGCTATGTGGGTAAATGACCCTCTGAGATTTATGATCCAACTTACGTATGTGGGAAAGCTGCCTCCTTCCACACTCTCAAATATTCTCAAGCTTCCCTAAAAAATGTATGTCCAAGGTTAACATTCTATCACTTTTTGGTAGTTTTCTTATTTCTTGAATTCACTGGCATGCTCCCAGGAGCCCTGGCGTGGGCTCTTGTACACCGTGTGGTTACTGTGCAGCCATGGCATCCTGGTGGCTGCAGAATGGTTACGGGCCAAAGAGCTCAGCCTTGGCCTGCCCTGGAGATACACTCCAACGCTCGCTGCTATAGTTGGTCCTTGGAGAGACAAAAAGTATAGCAGATTGGAGAAAAAAAAAAAAGAGTAAAATCATGAACTGGGGAGAAGGGCCCACAGCTCCTTCTATTGTCCCAGGAGTTATGTGGTAAGTGCAAAACTTGTGCTAATCTTAAAATCAAAGCAGGAGCAGACTCACTAGCATCCATGCTGACAATGCCCATAAAATGCAATCTGTCTTTTAAATGGCTTGAACACAGCAGTGTCCCTGGCGGGAAAAGGATTCTGGCTGGGCGGGATGACAATGGTACTCAGGTATTTGAAAGAGCACGCTGTCCACACAGTGAATTAACGACAACAGATGAATTAAAGTTCAGAAGTTAATGAACAGCAAAACATCTATTTTGATTACTAATTATGTGACTCTGAAGAGTCCAAACCTTCTTCCTAGACTGAGTGTCTCTGTGCTTGGGACTGCCACCTATGAAGGCTCAAAACTGCAGAAATACAGGGATAATCTGTGCCCACAGTACTGGGCAACTTAACTTCAAAATAACAAGAGGAGATATGCTTTCATGTTTTGCTTACAACCTAACATTTGTTCAGCTACCTTTCATAAGAACCTGGGACTGAGGTGAGGGGAAAGGGAAAAATACAAGAAGGTAGCAGAGAAAATGATCGCTGTTTCTTTATTCAATTACCTGATTCCTTATAGTCCCTAAATATGTTTTCAACTAAGCCCTGTTTGCTGCATGAAATGTTAATCTACCAACTTAGTTAGATATGTCTGAAGTGGACATATGGTTTAAATGTTTTAATGTTAAGGGAAGGAGAAGCATTTACAGAAATATTTGAAATGGTATAATATTAAAATACATCGTTCACAATTTGTGAAGGATAAACATATTTTGGAACCTGAGCAAATGCTTCTGACCAACACCACAAAAAGTCACTATATGTGTTGTTCTCACTGGCAATGATTCAGCCAGGTGACTGTGTTGCTCTTGGCAACTTCCATGACCCCCAAAATATGTGGACTACAGAAAGGCCAATGACTCTAGAAGCCTGCAGTTAGTAGTATAGGCTGGAAGTTGAACACACTGCTGCTGGGAACGATTAGATACCATCATATTAAACATAAAATACAAGTAAGAATAAAAGAGAATGAGTACACAAAGAAATAAACAGCTAACAGCAGGACTATGCTCAGAATCAGACTGGGTGTGAGTTTAACCACAACGCTCAGATACATATCACAGTCTGCTCTCAGATCACAGGTCCTTGCTCTCAAAATAAATATACTGAACATTTACAACAGAATGAATGCCTTACAAAAATGCAAGCTTTTCTTTTATTGCAATTCTAATCAAATAGATCAAAAAGTCATACTTCTAAATAAGCTACAAGTTAGCTTTTCCTGTGAAACCCGTGTGACTTGGTGCCACAGTGAAACTTTTTCTATCTAATAGCAGCAGTATGGCAGCCCATGGCAGCAAAGAACTTCTGATTTCTGGCACCTGTGGGCTCCCAGACAAAGCAACTCCATAAAGCCATGCCGGGATCTACCCTGCTGAAGTTTCAAATGAATAAAAATGACCATTGTGCTTATGGGTCTCACACCTTCCGAAATATACATAAATGGTGACAGGTTAGCAAATACTAGTAGATCCTTGCTTATCAATAAAATCATAAGGCAGAGCGCCGGAAGTGGAAAGAGAAATGTTTAAAATGGAAAAAAGATCTCAAAATGGTGCTAGCATTCACGAAAAAGATCATGCTAAGATCAGATCCATATTGATTTAAAAACTGAAAATTAAGCCACAATCCAAAGAACTCTGTCCATGAGTCCAAAGGCATGCATGCCAGCTGAAGAAAACGCAGTATTCATCCGACCACAGCTTCTTCAAAGCAGAACAGTAACGCATCACTGGGGTAATCACAAGAGGGTGAGCAAGACGTCATCACACTTCTTTTTTGTAATTTAAAAAAAAAAAAGCAATCACAAGACAAAAAAATTAAAGAATAATGGAAAGAGAAAATACAGAAATTCACAATGACCTATAAAACCAAGAGAAAAATCAAAATTATTTTTACACTTTCAAGGATCATCCTTTATAAAGCTATCTTTTTTAATTTAAAAAGTTTATAATGAAAGATGATGAATTTTAAAATATAAAGATTTATAAATCAGTGTTAAAACATAAAACTACTTCACTACTCATGCGAGTACCCACAGTATTTCTTATTTAAAGGACACACAGAGGCATCTTGTCACCAGAATCTCAGCCAAAGCCTCTCCTACACCCAGATGTCTTAAGCATGAAAGTTCTTCATGAGGAAGAGTAACTTAAAACTAATATTTAAAATGCAGTAAGTGCCTAAGATCGTCATTTGAAAGACTTGGCTAAGTATTTTTGCCTTTTCTAATAAGTTCACAGTTAAAAACTAAATAAGTAAAAGAACAAACTATATTCTTTTAGCCCAAAAGCTTAATTAAGGCTGTGTGTGGTGTCAGCTGTTCGTGGGCCGTGTGAAGCGGCCCTGAGGTACTCACGGGAGCCCCAGGCTATCCGGCCTTCGTATCCACGAGCTGCATCTGCACGTTGGCAGCCATCCCGCCTCCGTAGCCTCCCTTGGACTGCATCTGGTTCTGAATGGAGCTAACCTGAAACAAGACAAAAACACAGTAAGGTGAAAAAATGGAAGTCAGGAACTAGGTCAAATGCAAATAGTGATTCTTTATTTTTCCTTTTTTCTCAGAAGGGCATTTCTAAGTGTGCACTTAGAAATTTAATTTTTTTCTGCTTATAGGGGCAAATGGTAAGGCAGTAATTGGAACATTTTTTGGCCACGACTCCTCCTCTGCCATACTTCCTTTACTTCACACTTACTAAAAGAAAAGCCAGCGTTATAATTCACAAGGCACTTGGTTACATTTCAACAACAATCAAAAGACAAACTCAACCTTCTGTTCCTCAACCTCAAGAATCTTAATTTGCAGATCCCTCCCATACATGACCACCTCCATTAGACTAGAATCAGAAACAAAAAAATAAGCATGAATGAAACTGGACTAGCCAAAGGTAAATCTTAAAAAGTTCATGTGGTAAAATGTACATACTTGATACAATCTTAACACAGTCTGACAATTGTAAAAAGGAGTCTAAGAGCCAAAGACTTGGACTGCATTCCAGGTATATTTGTTTATTAATATTGTAACTCTGGGTGAATTACTTATTCTCCATGAATATCAGGCTTTGTATCTGTGCTATTTTCTGATAGATTGTGAGATATATAAATGCTGAGTTATTTTCTTACTTTTTAAAATATCCCCAGATTCTAGAACAGTACTAAACGCACAATAGATACTTGCCAAACAAAGGCCCGTAAAGTCATTTGCAAACTGTAAAGTGCTTTTACCTTAACATTACTATTCCGATCTTAGTTCATACAGACTGCAAGCAGCTGGGAAGCAGAGAATGAGAGACTCAGGTTAGATTGCTTGAAAAAGGATCACCAACAGCAAGAAGATTTTGGAGGTGATGTCCTAACAGAGAAGAGTCAGAAAGCTCTCACCATCTAGTCTGGTATCATATGGAATCAGCTCAAAGGGCCCTTCACACATCCACGACTCTGGGAGCTGGGGGAAGGGGCATCATCCATCCATTCATCAGATAGTTACTGAGCACTTACTGTAATATAAAGCATGAGCTAGGTGCTTAAGATTAATGATTCTGAATCAATAAAGTAAAAAGACTTGCCTAAGTTACTTCTGGAATAAACCTGGCTATAAATATATTCTAATAAAAGAGAAGAGCAAAATATAAAATACATGGTTTATATGAATCCAAAAGAATTTAAATGAGAAAAAGTTTTAGCTCCTAAATGGGTACATTTTTACTGATCTGCAAAATTTACTTATGTGAAACATCTTACTCCAATGACATCAGGTAATGAGCTATTATTATAATACCATCTATATTTAATACTGGCTACTCTAGATAAGAGATTAAGAAAAAGAAATCTATACACCTATCTTTTTAAATGAACTTACTGATTTAATGCATACTGTGAGAAAGTCAAAGCCTGCCATATGCTATCAGTTCAGTCACTATTTTCCCCCTTATAAGCAACATCATGTTACGTGATTTCACCCTTGGTTTCAAATAAATTCCCATCTAACACAACAAAGAAGGATCAATAGTTGAAAAATACGTCCTTGGTAAGAGAAACGACAACGGAGATCACATGATAGAATTTGGTAAGACCAATGACCTATTCATTGGAAGTATCTTTTTTCAACAACATAAACAGGAACTATACCTGTGGACCATGCCAGATGGAATACATAGTAATCAAATCAACTACATCTGTGGAAAGAGATGATGGAAAAGCTCAATATCATCAATGCAGTCAGAATGAGGCCAGGAGCCAACTGTGGAACAGACCATCAATTGTTTATATTCGAGTTGAAGCTGAAGGAAATTAAAACAAGTCCATGAGAGCCAAAGTATAACCGTGAGTACATCCGACCTCAATTTAGAGACCCTCTCAATAGATTTGACACGTGGAACACTAATGACCAAAGACCAGACAAGTTATGGCATGAAATCAAGGAAATCATACATAAAGAAAGCAAAATGCCATTAAAAAGACAGGAAAGAAAGAAAAGACCAAAATGTATATCAGAAAAGACTCTGAAACTTGCTCTTGAAAGTACAGTAGCTAAAGTGAATAGAATAAAGTAAAAGAGCTGAACAGAAGATTTCAAAGGGCTATTCAAGAAGACAAAATAAAGTATTATAATGAAATGTGCAAAGACCTGGAGTTAGAAAACCAAAAGGGAAGAACACACTCAGCATTTCTCAAGCTGAAAGAACTGAAGAGAAAATTCAAGCCTCGAGTTATAATACTGAAGGATTGTATGGGCAAAATACTGAATGACACAGGAAGCATCAAAAGATGGAAGGAATACACAGAGTCACTGTACCAAAAAGATTTGGTTGATGTTCAACCATTTTAAGAGATAGCATATGATCAAGAACCAATGGTACTGAAGGAAGAAGTCCAAGCTGCACTGAAGGAACCGGCGAAAAACAAGGCTCCAGGAATTGACGGAATACCAATTGAGATGTTTCAACAAATGGATGCAATGCTGGAAGCGCTCACTCATCTATGTCAAGAAATTTGGAAGACAGCCACCTGGCCAATTAACTGGAAGAGACCTACATTTGTGCCCATTCTAAAGAAAAGTGATCCAACAGAATGTGGAAATTATTGAATAATATCGTTAATATCACATGCAAGTAAAATTTTGCTGAAGATCATTCAAAAACCATTGCAGCAGTACACTGACAGGGAACTGCCAGGAACTCAAGCAAGATTCAGAAGAGGGCGTGGAACAAGGTATATCATTGCTGATGTCAGATGGATCTTGGCTGAAAGCAGAGAATACTAGAAAGATGTTTACCTGTGTTTTACTGACTATGCATAAGCATTCGACTGTGAGGATCATGACAAATTATGGATAACACTGAGAAGAGTGGAAATTCTGGAATACGTAATTGTGTTCATGTGGAACCTGTACATAGACCAAAAAGCAGTCGTTCAAATAGAACAAGGAGATACTGCACGGTTTAAAATCAGGAAAGATGTATGTCAGGGTTGTATCCTTTCACCATACTTATTCAATCTGTATGCTGAACAAATAATCCAAGAAGCTGGACTATATGAAAAAGAACGGGGCACCAGAACTGGAGTAAGACTCATTAACCACCTGCGATATGCAGAAGACACATCCTTCCTTGCTGAAAGTGAAGAGTACTGATGAACATCAAAGGCTACAACCTTCAGTATGGATTATACCTCAGCATAAAGAAAACTAAAATCCTCGCAACTGGACAAATAAGCAACATTATGATAAACAGAGAAAAGACTGAAGTTGTCAAGTATTTCATTTCACTTGGATCCACAATCAATGCGCATGGAAGCAGCAGTCAAGAAATCAAAAGGCTTGTACTTTTGGAAAATGATACAGTGCTTCCTTGAAAAGCTAGAAATAGAAATACCATATGATCCAGCAATCCCAAGCCTAGGAATATATCCTACAGAAATAAGAGCCGTCACACAAATAGATATCCACACACCCATGTTCACTGCGCATTGTTCACAATTATTAGCAAAAAGATGGAAACAACCTAGGTGCCCATCAACAGATGAATGGATAAACAAATTATACTACGTACACACAATGGAATACTACCAAATGATAAAGAACAATGATGAATTTGCAAATCATCTCACAACATGGATAAATCTGGAGGGCATTATGCTGAGTGAAATAAGCCAACCATGAGAGGACAAATATTGTATGAGACCTCTACTATAAAAACTCATGAAAAAGTTTACACAAAAAAAGAAACAATCTTTGACGGTTACAAGGGAGGGGAGGGGTGGGAGGGAAAACCACTAAATAGACAATAGGTAAGTGGTAACTTTGGTGAAGGGTAAGACAGTACACAATACTGGTGAAGCCAGCACAACTTGTCCAAGGCCAAGGTCATAGAAGCTCCACAGACACATCCAAACTCCCTGAGGGACCAAATTACTGGGCTGAGGGTTCTGGATGGAAGGAAAAAAAAACAAAACAGAAATCAAAAGGCCCAGAAAAACCAGATGTTGCCCAGCTACCACCACTGACAGCTCTAACAGGGATCACAATAAGAGCCCCAGACAGAGAGGGAGAAAAATGTACAACAAAATTCAAACTCACAAAAAAAAAAAAAAAAAAAAAAAAACAGATTTACTGGTATGACAGAGACTGAAGGAACCCTGAGACTATAGCCTCTGGACAACCTGCTAACTCAGAACTGAAATCACTCCTGAAGCCCACTTGACAAAGATTAGACAGGCCTATAAAACAATCAATAACACAGGTGAGGAACCGGCTTCTTAGTTCAATCAAATATAAGAGACCAAGTAGTCAACTCCTTGCCAAAAGCAAGGCAAGAAGGCAAGAAGGGACAGGAAAACTGGACGAATGGACACAGAGAAGCTGGAGTGAAAAGGGGCAGAGTGCTGTCACATTGCGGAGATTGCAACCGATGTCACAAAACAATATGTGTATAAATTTTTGAATGAGAAACTAACCAAGCTGTAAACTTTAACCTAAAACACAATAAAATTAAAAAGAAACTTAGCTTCTTGGTCTGAGTGTATAAGTGAAAGGAAAGAAATTTAGATACCATGGGGATACAAAAAGGAAAGTGGGTATTTCAAACATTTCACACCAAACTTAGGCTGTACTAACCGAGAAATAATAAAATCACATTTGAGGGGGGAAAAAAAAGAAAGAAATCAAATGACGTACTGCACTGGGCAAATCTGCTGCTGAAGACCTCTTTAGAATATACAAAAGCAAAGATGTCACTTTGAGGACTAAGGTGCGCCTCACCCAAGCCATGATATTTTCAATCATCTCATACGTATGTGAAAGCTGCACAAGGAAAAAGAAAGACCAAAGAATCGATGCATTTGAATTACGGTGTTGGTGAAGAATACTGAATATACCATGGACTGCCAGAAGAACAAACAAATCTGTCCTGGAAGAAGTACAGCCAGAATGCTCCCTGTAAGTGAGGGTGGTGAGACTTCGTCTCACGTACTTTGGACATGTTATCAGGAGGGACCAGTCCCTGGAAAAGGACATCATGGTGGGTAAAGTAGAGGGTCAGTGAAAAAGAGGAAGACCCTCAACAAAATGGACTGACACAGTGGCGGCAATAATGGGCTCAAACACAGCAACGACTGTGAGGATGGTGCGGGACCAGGCAGTGTTTTGTTGTTGTACACGGGGTCACTATGAGTTGGAACCGACTCGATGGCACATAACAACAACAACAACACAGTATGTTAGCTTTTACGGGTATTTTAGGCCTATTTAAAAAGCAACAAAAACAGTATCACTTTAATATTTTTAAATTGTGTATCCTTAATGCTATGTAGATTCTAAGAAGAAAAATAAGTGTTGACGTTCTTCAATTTCAAACAAGATGATTTAGTTTCTGCACTGTAAGCAAACCCCCTCGGTGTTAAGACTGAATGTATTATTGTGACTGTGGATAGACAATATTTTAATACAATAGGGTTATATTATTGAAAGGGTCACAAAATCTTTTGTGGCTACAAGTTAGTATGAAATGTACTCAGGACGAACAGTATTTTGGGGGAAAAAGAAATTACAAGTCACCTGCCCCTTGAATAATACAGTTTAGGCACAACTGTTTCATCAAGCCATGTTCATAAAACTACTGCTCATTTTCTAAGACTAGATAAAACTTAGGACAAAATATTTACTTTGGACAAACAGCATATCTGTTTATGGTTTTGTCTTATTTGCACTTATTGAAATTGCATAGAGGAATATAATTTCTCTCACCAGACCAGGCTTATACACTTTAGAACTATCAGTGACCTGTTCAGCAGACCTACTGACGGAACGATACCCTGCCTAACGGTAAGAAAAGAGCTCAGTGTTCTGTGGGGGTGAGGTGTGGAACATCCCTTTCAAGACAACAAACTAACGTATGAAATGACTACAAAAAGTCTGTGGGGAGACATATTCGGTTTTAAAGAGTGAAAACACTGCAGAAGAAATCCATTTCAGTAAGCTGAGAAGGCTGTCTGGAGACTGCAGGGCAAAACTCTACAATAGCTGAGGCCCTGTCTTGATCCTGCCTCTACGGTGAGCTGAAGAAGCAGACATGGTAGCCCTGCAAAGCACGGTCATAAAATTCTACCTAAATTTATGGCAAACCAAAAAGCAAAGTACAGGCAGTTCCTGGGCTACCAATATCCGATTTACGTACAACCCGTAGTTACAAACCAATCTACATAAAGCCTATTATATTAAAAACTGGAGGTACGTACAATGGTTCATAATAACAAATGGGCACTATTATTATTACTGTACTATTCTGTTAAAGATATTTTAGTATATCTGGAAGTGCTTCTTTACTTTTTTTAATGCATAGAAAGGTACACTATATACTAAGACAAATATTTGACTAACTGATGTTAGATACGAACTGTACCTAACTGTTCTGACATACATACAAATTTGACTTAAAGACCGACTTAGGAACGGAACTCATTCGTAATCCGGGAACTGCCTGAACAACAATCACGGACTTTTCATTGGGGCAAAATGCCAGATAGGAATCTTTAAAGGAAATTCTGAAATGGGTATAAACAAGATTTAAAAGGTTAATAACACTGTGAACTAAAATTTAATTCTTCATACATGGTTAAATTAAAAAAAAAGTAAGTGGTGAAGAAGACATTTATTGATGAGAAAGAAACTAAAATCCCACATATATAATAAATTTGAAACCACTCACTATATATACAATATAATAATCAAGTAACAAAACTAACACGGTCCCATTTGGTTTCCTCACTCGGTGCTGATCCCGGAAACAAAGCTATTGAGTTATATTGTGACAGCAACATGACACCTCTTACGTTTCCACAAAAGCAGTCAAGTGAAACAGAGTACTTTTCCCACAGATTTAAAACAAACAAGCTGTTTCCTTTCCAGAAAGCTACAAATATCATTCCTTTGCTTACCTAGTAACTGCAGTGACAAACTTGTTTGCAGTATCCAGGATATTCATCTACCTACCTTAGAAGTCCCTGTTCTCTTGTGAAGTCTGTCATTAATGCTGTCCAGTGAGTGAGTATATGAGTCATGATTTGTGTTTACAAAGCCTTACTGGCTTTCTGGTCCTAAACACTTTGCAGATAATGCAGACACACTTGCTTACTTCAGGAACGGGGAACAGAGGCCCTCAGTGCTTAGCGGCTTAAGGGCAAAAACAAGGTGAGTACCACTAAGAACCTCCATTTGGCGGTGCTTCTATTATACTACAGTTTTTCTCTTAGATGAAAATCAAAGAATAAAAGGTCAGCTGAGTAAATCTAAAGTTTGTTCTGAAATTCACCAAAACGTCTATCTAAAAGAAAATAAACTTTCCTTCCTTACTTCTGGTTCTTCATATTCTGACAAACGTGACAAATTTTTGCTACCTTGCCCTGAAGGGATATGTACAAATTAGAATCTGCAGCTTAGTGCACTAAAGCTTATATTATGGTAATAAATAAATCACAAACATTCTAATATCATCAGGTAAACGCTAATATTTTATAAATAAATACAATAAAAATGTCTGTAAAAGGCAACTAACTGGACTTAAGAGAACAAAAAATCATTAAAAGGCTGATCTCCAAGCCCTTTGGTAAGAGCATGGAGAATCCAGGGACATTAACCTCCATTCTGAACTCAAATCCTTCATTTATTCAGGGGAAAGAAGCTATGAAGAGCTTTAAGTACAAGAAACAGAAACAAATGCATAACGTGGCAAATGACTATTTTAGATGAGAGATTAATTTTTCATTACTCACTTCTCTTTTCAATGCTCACATTATATATTCATATTTGACATCCATAAATTCATTTAGCACAATGTTATCATTAAACACATATATGCATCAGTCTCACAGCATATGACTATGCCCCACGACCCTACCTGGATGCTCTGCCCAAGTACTTACTGAGTTCATTCCACTGAACAGGTCTCCTGATCCCACGTGAGCTGTGTGTACGAAGTTTGTTGGCTCTCCAATCATACTTCGGTCAATTCGCCGTCGCCTTTTCTAAAATATGGGGAACAATGTGTTGAAAAATTGATCTTATTAATAAAAGACTTCTGATGGATTTATACATTATGAATGATAACTTTGTTTAATAATATAATGAATTTGCCCAGGTTGCAAAAATCCTAAATGGTCGCCTGTCACAATTACCTCTTATGATGAAATCTCCAAAGGAAATACACACGCACAAGAAAATGATTGGTAAAGCAAAATAATAGGTTAGTATTTAGAACTTAACATATTATTTGATCTAGCTTTGGCCATCCACATATCACTTACATTTTACTCTTTAAAAAAAAAAATTGAGACAAATGTAAAAATATCATTAGTCAACAATCACCGTTAAGCAATGAATACAGTGTGACTTGAACATAACAATGATTTTAAACATTACTTTCTACTTTTCACCATTAACAAATTGATTGTATTTTGATGTTATTACTGATAGTCAATTACCCTTCCTCACTGGAATGAACCTGTCAGTCAGCTGCCCTGCATGGGAAAGATATGATCTTAGTCTATTCACTGTTTTCTGGTCTGTTCTGCCTGGTAACCAAGCTCTAGTCCAAACTCAGTCAGCTAGGCTGGGGCTTCTTGGCTCTTCGGAAATCTTGACACTCTCACGATGTGCTGGACTCTGTTTCCCAGTAACTTTAGCTACCAGCTGGAGTCCCTGCCCCTATCAATGTGCCCTACCACCTCATCAGAGGTACTGCCACACCTTGCTGCTGTGTGTCACTGATCATCTGAGATTTTTCCACAGATGATGGTTATCCTAGGTTAGTCCCAAGTTTTCCATGATTCCTTAGATACTGCAGTCTAATAGGCAGAGGCCAGTGGCACAGGCTGGGTTGGTGTCCGTATACTAGCTCTGCTTACCCTAGTTTACTTCTCCTTTAACAGTCTATTGCTCCTGAAATTGCAGCTTGCATCAAACCCACAGCAAATTATAAACCTACTTGATTAGGCTGCCCTTGAACATAATATTTCATGTCCACATCTACCGAAATCTCGGTATGCTCTTGACAAACCCTAAGAAAGTATCAAGAGAGACCCAAGTGACAGCTCTTTAAGGTTAGAACGTGACTTTCTAAAAGCCACAAAAACAAAGAGTACAAGGGTATTTTTTAAAAATTAGTATACTCTTTACTTCAGTACACCACATACTATTTCAGCACTTCGCTAACTTGTTTTTATTCAAATGCTTTTGTCTTCCCAACATAAGATCACAAGCTAGTTTAATTAGCATTTCGTAAATTCATATACCAATCTTGCTTTGTTCTTACTTTTTATTTTATCTTGGATATTTTCCCATACTCTTAAATATTCCTAATATTCTCAAGAACATTTTTTTATTTGTGTTTTATTTTTTGTATTGTTGTAGTTTAAATGAAGCTTCCATTTCAAGTTAGTCTCCCATACAAAAATTTATACATACATTGTTAGATGACCCTAACTGCTCTCCCCATACTGTGACAGCATGCTCCTCCTTTCTACCCGATTCCCCATGTCCATTCAACCAGCTCCTAATGCTCTAACCTCCCATCTCACCTCCAGACAGAAGCTGCTCGTTTAGTCTCTTCTATCTACTTGAGCTAAGAGGCATACTCCTCATGAGTATCACTTTACGCCCCATAGTTCAGTCCAATCCCTGTCTGAAGAGTTGGCCTCGGGAACTGTTTTAGCTCTGGGCTGATAGAGAATCCGGGGGCCATACTTTCTGGGGTTCCTCCAGTATCAGTCAGACCATTAAGTCTGGTCTTCTTACTAGAATTTAAGTTCTGTACTCCACCTTTCTCCTGCTCCATCAGGGACTCTGTTGTGTTCCCTGTCAGGGTGGTCACAGGTGGTAGCTGGGCACCATCTAGTTCTTCTAGTCTCAGGCTGATGAAGTCTGTGTTTTATGTGGCCCCTTCTGTCTCTTGGGCTAATACTTTCCTTGTGTCCTTGCTGTTCTTCATTCTCTTTTACTCCAGGTGGTTGGGACCAACTGATGCATCTTAGATGGTCACTTGCAAGCGTTTAAGACTCCAGACTCCACTCACCAAAGTAGGATGCAGAACATTTTCTTAATAAGCTTTGTTATGCCAATTGACCTAGATGTCCCCTGAAAGCATTCTCTCCAGACCCCTCTCAGACCCCTGCTGATCAGATTTGTCATAGCCAAAAATTTTTTTCCAGTCTGTAGGTTATCTTTTTACTCTTTTGGTGAAGTCTTTTGATGAGCGTAAGTGTTGGATTTTTAGGAGCTCCCATTTATCTCTTCTCTCTTCTGGTGCTTGTGCATTGTTACTTATGGTTCGTATTATGTTTATGTCACGTATTAGGGCTCCTAGCGTTGTCCCTATTTTTTCTTCCGTGATCTTTATCATTTTCGATTTTATATTTAAGTCTTTTATCCATTTTGAGTTAGTTTTTGTGCATGGTGTGAGGTATGGGTCTTGTTTCAGTTTTTTTGCAGATGGATATCCAGTTATGCCAGCACCATTTGTTAAAGAGATGTCTTTTCCCCAATTAATGGACTTTGGGCCTTTGTCAAAGATCAGCTGCTCATAGATGAATTTATGCCTAGATTCTCAATTCTGTTCCATTGGTCTATGTATCTGTTGTTTTACCAGTACCAGGCTGTTTTGACTACTGTGGCGGTATAATAGGTTCTAAAATCAGGTAGTGTGAGGCCTCCCACTTTGTTCTTCTTGAGTAATGTTTTACTCATCTGGGGCCTCTTCCCTTTCCATATGAAGTTGGTGATTTGTTTCTCCATCTCATTAAAAAATGCCGGTGGAATTTGGATCGGGATGGCATTATATCTGTAGATCGCTTTGGGTACAACTGACATTTTCACAATGTTGGGTCTACCTATCCATTAGCAAGGTATGTTTTTCCACTTATGCAGGTCTCTTTTGGTTTCTTGCCGTAGTGTCTCGTAGTTTTCACTGTATAGGTCTCTGGTTAGATTTATTCCTAAGTAATTTATCTTCTTGGGGGCTACTGTAAATGGTACTGATTTGGTGATTTCCTCTTTGAGGTTCTTTGTTGGTGTAAAGGAATCCAACTGATTTTTGTATGTTCATCTTGTATCCTGAAACTTTGCCGATATCTTCCATTAGTTCCAGTAAGTTTTCTGGTGGACTCTCTGGGGTTTTCTGTGTAGAAGATCATAACATCTGCCAATAGATACTTTGATTTCTTCTCTACCAATTTGGATGCCCTTTATTTCTTTTTCTATCCTAATTGCTCTGGCTAGGACCTCCAGCACGATGTTGAATAAGAGTGGTGAGAAAGGGCATACTTGTCTGGTTCCTGTTCTCAAGGGGAATGCTTTCAAAAGTCTCTCCATTTAGGATGATGTTGGCTGTTGGCTTTGAATAAATGCCCTTAATTATATTGAGGAATTTCCCTTCTCTTTCTATTTTGCTGAGAGTTTTTATCATGAATGGGTGTCAGACTTTGTCAAATGCATTTTCTGCATCGACTGATAAGATCATGTGGTTCTTGTCTTTTATTTACGTGATGGATTACGTTGATTGTTTTCCTAATGTTGAACCATCCCTGCATACCTGGTATAAATCCCACTTGATCATGGTGAATTATTTTTTTGATATGTTGCTGAATTCTATTGGCTAGAATTTTGTTGAGGATTTTTGCATCAATGTTCATGAGGGATACTGGTAAGAACATTTTTTAAAAGAAAGTAAAAACTACCTCCCCCAATGCCTGTTAAGTTTGTTTTATTGCCTTCCAGGCTTTTCTCTATGAATTTAAATAGCTCTGTATCCATATACAATAGAGTCCCTGGGTGGTGCAAACAGTTATAGTCCACCCAGAGGTGCCCTGGGATAAGGGTCTGGCGATCAGCTTCCAAAACATCAGCCATTAAAAACTCTATGGAGGGCAGTTCTACTGTGACACACGTGGGTTTCCATGAGTCAGAGTCAACTCCATGGCAACTGGTTTATCCATACACACATATATATGCTTGTGGGTTTCTTTGAAAAAATTATACATTCTTCTACATATAAAAATATTAACACGATGGTAACTTTTCTCATCAATTCATATAGATTTACGAGGAGAGGAAATAAAACCCAATTTCTACACTTCAAAAAAAGATACCGTAATATATATATATACAATAGAAACATTATATATTATATATATATATCCATCCATATTTATGCATTATTTAATATAACTAGAAATTACACGTTTGTTGGTTTAGCATAGAGAATGAAATTAAACATTATTTTAAGATAATAAAATCCAAATTCTTGCCCAAGGCATAACAGGCTTTGATTTGGCTCCTGCCCCCCAGCCACCTCATCTCTGACAACTCTCACACTCACTCACTACGTGCCTACCAAGCATTTTCCAGGCTCAGACCATGTAATAAACCCGTTGTTGTCAACTGGATTCTGACTCACAGCAACCCAGTGAAAGAGAGCAGAACTTTCAAGGCTGTAATCTTTACTGAAGCAGGTTATCCTTCTCCCTTGGAGTGGCTGGTGGGTTTGAACCACTGGCCTTTCAGTTACCAATCAAGCACTTAACCACTGCACCACGAGGGCTCCTAGGCCATGAAATAGTCTTGTATAATTATATTGATCTCTTTCAGTTGCTAGGGATTCATTTATTTACTTTTTCATCTTCTCAAAGAACTAGCTTCGGTTTTATTAATTCTACTACCATCCTTTTATAAATAATTTTTACTTTTATAAATTTTCCGTTTTCTTTAACTTTATTGCACTTTTCCTATTTTTGAAGTAAAATGGTTTGTTCATTTTTGGCTTTCTTGTTCAGTTAGGTACACATTCAATATTACATATCTTTGTATATGTATGGATTTAACTTCATCCTGTAAGTTTTTATTGAGAAGTTCCCATATTTTCCATTATTTCTAAGTAATACAATTTCAATTTTTGATTTGCTATCTAATTCAAGGGATTTAAAAAATAGCTTCTTATTTTCCAAGTGGCTCATTCTCTTTCTTTTCTGGCAAT